TGCCAAGTGACTACAAAGTAACTAGGCTTGCTGATCATCCACCAAGGGTGCTCTTTCCTTCACAGATGTCCCAGCACCAGGTGCATGCAGTGCAGCAGCTGGCCAAGGTTATGGGGTGGCAAGTACTAAGCTTCAGCAACCATGTGGGACTTGGCCCCATCGAGAGCATCGGCAACGCCTCCGCCATAACAGTAGCCTCCCCGAGTGGCGACTACGCCATCTCAGGTACTGTCTGCTTGTTCCCTGGGAAGGGACCTCGGGAGGTTGGTGTTAACCTTTAGCTGTCAGGGTTACCTGTAGCCCAGAGTAACTTCTCTTCAGGCCAAACCTCTTTCAGATCCTAGCTATGATTCAGAGCAAGAGCTTCTTACTTCCCTTTTTAGTAGTTATAAAAAGTTCTTAGCCGATTTTCCTAGGAGACAACCGAAAACTGTCATCAGTATTGTTAAATGGTTTACAGTTTCAAGCCTTTCATTGATTGATATTTAGCCTTTAATCAAATGTCTGCGCAGATATCAGAAGAACGAATATCTGATCCTAAAGACGGTGAAGGAGGAGAGGAGTTTTTGTCAAGCAGCTACTAGGAGCCCTGGTGACGCATGCAGGGTTATGCGGGGCTAGCTTAGTCAGCTGTGCGCAGAGGTCAGCAGTGGGCACCCGGCACAGTGGTCCTGTAGGGAGAAGATGAGCCATTCTCAGCTTCCACCGCCTTGGCAACCCTGGGGGCAAAAGTCTACACTGTCCTGTGGACAGCAGTGGGATGAGCCACACACTTTCATAGACACTTGCAGATACATTGTGTACATTAAATTTACACAGGAGGCTTCAAACAGTTGGTGAGAATTCCATTAATTTCCAATTCCATTTTTCCAGGAACTGTTTTGAAGCCCCTTGTGTTTAGAGTGCTTCTGGCTCTAGTGTTACCTTCTTTACTACCTGCCCTCCTTGAGAAATGTTCAGGATCAAGTGTTTGTTGGACATTTGACATCCTTAAAACAAAATTCAACTTTTCTAGTTTCTGTAGTACAAACAGTAATTGGAGGATAACTGGCACCAATAAATTAACCCACGCTCACCTAACATTATAATTGAAAGCACTTTTACTCAGGAAGGCAGACAGGGCCTTTGACACCGGAAGGCAGGCCAGGTCTTGGTACTCACTAGACAAGTTCGGGAGTGAATTTACCGACTTTGGAAAATGAGTATGTTGATGTTCTGGTTTTGCCCCCAGTTCGTAATGGCCCTGAGAGTGGCAGCAAGATCCTGGTCCAGTTTCCCCGTAACCAGTGTAAAGACCTCCCCAAAAGTGACGTTTTACAAGACAGCAAGTGGAGCCACCTCCGAGGCCCGTTCCGAGAAGTCCAGTGGAGTAAGATGGAAGGCCGGAACTTCGTGTATAAGATGGAGCTGCTCATGTCTGCCCTGAGCCCCTGCCTGCTGTGAGCCATTTGAGGAACTGTGACTTGAGATGTGGGCAGCATCGACCAGAAGCACAAGGAAGATAAATCTTCCTGAGGACTTGTTTTTTTTAAATTAGCACATATTTATGTACCATTTTGAAACTTCCACTTTATAAGTGACAAGGGCTTTGAAATGCAGGAATTTATGTACAGTTCTAGTGTATGTGGGTGTGTGTAAAATACATGTTTGTGGGGGGGGATGTAGTTAGCTGGAACATTTTACTGACTTGTGCTTTTTAAAATACTTGCTCTTTGCTATCAAAGTGGTTAAAAAAAAATCAAGTACTTTCTGAACTCAAACTCTTACCTGCTCAAAGGAATTGTGTCTTTGACTGACTGGCCTCATTTAGCTACTCATGAAAAGGATCGCTAAGGAACATGTCAGCTTTCCTAAAGGAACGGAGGCCCTTTCTCTGCACTGTAACCCAGTGCGCGTACCAGGGCTGTGAGTGTGGTCAAGTGTGAAGAATGAGCAGTCCCTGCCCGTGTCGTCTCTACGCAGTGCTCGGAGTGCTGCTTCCGTGAAGGTCTCGATAGCCTGTCTTACGAGAGCAATCTGCTGTAGCAAAGTGAACAGGATGAAGCCGTCCATTACCAAGTATTCAGTCTGCACTTTGGGGAAGTAGTGCCCCAATGCGAACGCATGCCAGAGGCATGTCCCTACTTAGGGGGAGATGGAGTCCCAGGGCCTTTTGCCCCACTGAACATCTCATTATCAGGCGGCTGCCTCTTTGTGAGTAAGACTTTGGATTTTTAAAACAGATACTCTGGCTCAATAAATTACAACTAATAATTTTGGAAACTTTTAAAGAAAAATGCTGTTTGCCAACAATGAAATACCTCACACTTGTTGAACTATGCTTTCCTCCTTTTGATCAAGGTAATGCATCTTTCTATATGAAAGTTAAAAGAATTGGTGTGCTCTCATAATAATTTAAAAATCTTAAGTACTTCGGGAATCATGATCGCTTGCAATATCTGCCTTGGCTAATTTTCTGTGCTACTCCATACAGTTCTATTGTCTCAGATGCTCACGCTGTAGTGAACTACATCACAGCGTTCTTGCGAAACGAGGCTCATCAGCATATTAGCGAGGACCTGTCCTGTTTGGACAAATAGAAGCCCTGCAAAAGGGAGGAAGACCCTCAGCGAGTGGAGAGGTGGTTTCCTCTCATCACCAAAGTGACAAATCCTTTAGAATGCACCTGCGAAGCCCCTGTGTGGGCTTGACAATGGCAGTGGAGTTTGGTACAAATGTGTCATGTCATTTTGCTCCTACAATCTACCAGGTAGCCAGAGGCAGTGTGAAGGGTGCATGGAGGGCGTTTGTTGAAAGTCTGAAGAAGATCTGAAGAGAAGGGAACCCAGTGTTCCCTCTATCGTGTATGCTTTCACTCAGTTCTTTGATTTTATTGGCGATCTGACAGACCTCAGGTGCCTGTGTACTGAGCTCTTCTCCACACCACCAGCCTGACAACAGAGACTGGGTACGGTCCAGGGGCCACTGCCTCCACAGGCCCGACAGGTTGGGGAATGTTGGGTTGGAAGCATTCCGAGGGAGAGTTGTGGGCTTGGACACTGCTGTAGTGGGTATTTTGTACGAAGGGACTTAAGTTCGTGGAAAAGTTCCGTTAACCTTCTTAATTCCGTATTTTCTACTTTTGGAAGATCCCTTGTATTAGAGTAGTCCTATTCCATTTTAACACTAGCCAGAATGGATTAGATGAAATGGCGATTTTGTTCAATGAAATCTGTTGCCCTCTTTCCCCCTTTTCACTGAGATATTTTCATCATAAAAACAGAATGAATGTTGGTCCTAGCCCTTCCAGTGGTTCATTTTCATGCATTCCTGTGTTCGCCCTGCTGTGAGATAGACGGGGTAGCTAGTGGTGACAGTTTAGTGTATCAAGTAGAAGTCTTAGTTAATAAAGGCTTCTTAGTATGTTTAAAAAATTATAATGATAAGTGTATACATAAAAGTTCTTTCATTCCCACTCTTAATCCCTAATGGTTAATTTGGCTTGTATCTCCCCAAACTTGCCTATGCATATATGAATATATCTATACACATACACTGAATATTTGAACTTATATTTTAGGCCCATGGGCTACTGCTGGTATTATCCTACAAGGTGCTTGTTTTCTCGAAGCGTATCTAGGGCATTATTTGTACGTCTACCTATTCCTAAACTGAGTTTTCTTAAAGTGATCGCACAATACAATCCATAGTACGGATACTTTACAAATTTATCTTTTATCTCAAGTGCTACAGACACCGATAAAAAGCTTGGGCAAACTTTGTAGTAGACTAGCTTTTTCAACCAACATGGAGAAAGACAAGGCTTTTTTCTACTTCTGTAAAGAGTTACAGTCTCAGAAACCCACTGGGGCAGTTCTACTGTGCCCAGGAAGGTTGCTGTGCAGTGGGATTCACTCAATGGCAGTGCGTTTGAAATTGAAAGTTCAATTAAGATGGTTTATTGTTAAGAAACTAATGCATTCAACTCTTGTTATCAATCTCTCCCTCCTTTAAGAATTCTAATTTTGGCAGATCAAGCTTTTATGTAGCTTACCACATAGTGATTGAGAAAGAAAAGACCCTGCTGATTAGCATGAATGAAGGGTTCGGAGGTGAGTCTGATCTGGTCAGATGTACAATCCGGTAGCGTAGATTGCTTGGACACACAGACAGCAGTTGTTCAGGCACTTTTTGGGTTTCTGGTTTTTTCTCAGGACCTAATGCTTTGAGAAGAATTTCCCCCATTGAACAAAATGTATTTATTAAATAATTCAGTTCCTTGTTTGCAAATCATCAACCATAGATCAGTGCCAATTTAAGTTCTTGATCAATGAGACAACCAGGAGCACTGCACTGATTTGATGGTGTTCAGGCAAAGAAATCCGACAGTGAAGCTGTGAAGTGGGTAAATGTATGAATTCCATCCGGTTTTGTTGAATACCAAACACACACCAGTCTCTTGTTCCTGTGCGTCTCCAGATGCCCAGACTGGGAGGGAACACTTGAAGAGCTGCCACTGGCCTCATCTCAATGCCACAAGACTGTATTACCAGTTGTTGTCGTTCGTATTTCTATCTAGTCTCTCAGTAATGCTTCTGTAACAGCACGAAGCTCGTTCACGATCGGTAAATGGGGAAATGCAGATCGTGTGACAGGGCAGTTGAGCTGGGAGTAGAAAAAGGGCTTGGCCAGTTGAGCTCGGTTTTTACAGAAATAAGAAGAGCCTGCACCTGCGCTCTACTCTCTTTAGCCCAGCGGTTCTCAACCTGTGGGTCACGGCTCCTTTGGAGGTCAAACGACCCTTTCACAGGGGTCGCCCGATTCATAACAGTAGCAAAATGACAGTTACGAAGTAGCAACGAAAATCATTTTATGGTTGGGGGGTCACCACAACATGAACTGTATGAAAGGGTCGCAGCATTAGGAAGGTTGAAAACCACTGCTTTAGCCTTTCTCCTGTTGAAGGGCATCTAGTTGGTCTGAATTGTTGACAGACCATTTCAGTGACCCTTACACAATAGTATTTGTGGGTCAGTGCAAGTGGTTCTATAGGGTACACTTCTAAAAGTAGACTTGCAAATAGAGAAAAAAAGAACGTGTACAATGGTTAAAGGTATGATCCCTGCCTTCTTAGTACTTACATCCTGATAAAGGTTTTTCAGTTTTGACATCATCAATAAGGCTTGAAAAATGAGTAAGGCTGGGCAGTATTTTCCATCCTAAGGTGAGATTCAAAGGGACTCCAAGGGTATCAGGTTTCAACTAAGAAGTAGACAAGTTTAAAGAATCAGCATGGCTTCAAAATGAAATCGACAAGTTAAGATCTTGTACCCACAAAAGCACTCGAAGCCTTCACCAGATGCAAAACATCTGCAAATCTGAAAAATCGAGGGCACTGCAAAATGCTTTCAACTTCGTGAGAAGTAAAAAGAACGCTGGCCATCGCATGAGACCCAAAGAGCAGAGCAACTTTTGCTCCAGGGTAAAACCATCTTTTCTCCTGTGGAGTGCTGAGTTCCCACCACTGACCTTTTGGTTAACAGTGGAGTGCTTCACCCCTGTACCACCACACCTACTGGCAAGCCACAACATATGTCAAAGGAGATTTGAGTTGCTAATGGTCATGCCAAAATAATGACAGGCATTTGTTCTTTTAGTAAAACACTGATGGGCCTGCTAGGTGGACAGAAGAAACAGGCTAGATATGGGAAAGCAGATGAGACCAACGGGGCTTCCCTTTGCTCCAGTGCCCTTTCCCTCGTCAAGGGGACCGCATTTGAGTCATGTCACATCCCTGGAGTTTTAGCCTGTCATGTTTAGCCATTCACCCAGCACTCTGCTGTCACCTCGCCCTTCTACATGGTGGCCTCCTCCAGTGCTTGTCTGCATTCCTGCCCTGGCCAAGCGTTCCTGGTAGCTTCTCTACGTGAACTGTTTCAAATCAGAGTAAGGGTGAAGTGCGGACTCAGATTTACCTTTTTGTCGGGGCTTCAGAGCACATGGGTTCTTTCTCGTTATTGTTCGGTGTCCTGGAGTCTATACTGACTCCTAGCAACTGAACAACAGAAAAAACACTACTCACCCCTGTGCCATCCTCACAGTCATCCCTCTGAACCCATGGTGGCAGCTAGTCTGTGTCTGCATCTCACTGAGGTCTCTCGGGACTGATCCCTCCTAATAACTTATCCAAAGGATATGGGATGGTCTCACCATCCTTGCTTCTAAGGAGCATTCTGGCTGTGTGTATCTTCCAAGACAGATTTGTTCATGCTTCTGGTAGCCCATGGTATGCTCGGTAATCTTCACCAGCACCGTAATCCACATGGTATACTCGGTAATCTTCAGCAGCACCGTAATCCACATGGTATACTCGGTAATCTTCACCAGCACCGTAATCCACATCGTATACTCGGTAATCTTCAGCAGCACCGTAATCCACATGGTATACTCGGTAATCTTCAGCAGCACCGTAATCCACATGGTATACTCGGTAATCTTCACCAGCACCGTAATCGATGATTATTCCCTTGTCCGGGGTTCACATTCATACACAAAGAGGAAGCATTGCTCCAATCAAGCTCACCTCAGTCTTTCTGGCAATGAATGTGACACGCTGCTCTTTAATATTTCACTCTGAACACAGTAGACCATAGAATTATCTGATTCCAAACAGACGGTAACAGTCCGCTTTAGTTCATTAATGCCCTGGCTATCGATCTTCAAGTGTTCCATATGCCTCACTTCAGACCTGTACACTTCACTCTACGATTAATTAGTACTGGGTATTTGCAGCAGTTTCTTCTCATTTGGAGTCTTGCCATACCAGCGAGTCCCAAAAACCTGGGTCCATCCACTTCAGGAAAGTGGACCGACTTTACAGTCAGTTTGAGTCCTTTCCGACCTGCGGCGCTCCAGCACTGTATTAGACGGTGTGCTGCTGCTATGCATACAGCTTTCACCCGCGTTTCTCTGTCAAGCAGTGGGTCACCAGGTCATTCTTCCTCGTCTGTAAGCTCTCTGAAACCTGAACTGACCCTGCTGGTATGTGAAATACTGATGGCAGCGCTTCCAGTATCACAGCCACACCCTCCCCACCACCACAGTCCCATCAGGTGCCAGGTCTTTTTGGGTCCTTGGCCCTCCTTTCCGAAGAGGGCGTTCTCAAGGCAAAGGTACATTTTGAGGAATATGTTCATGCATGGTTGAACTAGACGATGTTACACTCACAGGTCACACCCTCATCGCAACGCTTTCCAGACCATTAAGTACAGTTAGTAATCGAGAAGCCAGATTTAAGATTGTTCTCTTGGTCACAGGGCGGGAGAGGAGGATGGTGCTCAAGGAGGGCTGTTTTTCTACATTGCTAAGGTACGTTTCGGGCCGGAGCCAGAGTGTGTAGTGCCAGTGTCATTTACGTGGGTGCCAGGCTCTGGGCTCTGCCTGGCCTTCACCAGAAGCCTCTCTCCCAGGAGTGGCCTCACATGAAGGAACAAGGTGTCATTTTCAGATGTTCATTTTGGCCTTTATTATGTTTTTCACAGCTTGAGACATAACTTATAACTTAAACATTCACACTGGCAAAGCTGTAGTTTTCTTTGGGGAAAAGAAAAAGACCCAGAAATCAGAAACTGGTTCAGGACAGAAGGAGCCTTGGAAGTGAAAACGGAGCTCCTGGCCCCCCAGAGGATTGGAAAGCCGAAGGAATCCCCTAGGAAGAGGTTTTGTTGAGCAAGTCCATCACATATCTGAGTTTGCCACCGAAGTGGTTGGTGCCCCCTTTGGGGCCATCTTGTTTCTCTTCCTATGCAGAGGCTCACCACCCTAAACTTCTGACAGGCTGAAGGGTAGAAGTCGGAAAAGGAAAAAGCACCCACATCATCCCGTGGCGACCCTGCTCCAAACAAGCTGCCTGCTTGCCGGTGGCCTTCCTGTGTGGAAGAGGGGAGAGGACTAACCAGGCGGTCCTCGATCCCCTTGTGTCCAGAGCACGCTCCCCCTGCTCCTTCATGGTGCTGGAGACGCACAGAAACACACTGCCAGACAGCTGCAGGGGGCCGTTTGCCTGTGTGAGAGGGTGGCTGTTCTAGGTGTCTGAGGGTTCATGGTGAGTGTCTTCTGCCCTGTGCTACAGCGACACATCAGCTGTGAGGCCAGTTGCTAGCGCCTAGGCCTTCTCGAGATCACTGACAGTGCATGTCTCCAAGAGTGCTTCTCAGCCCTGTGCCCATTCTTCAGGGAAAGGACTCATCCTAACATCCATCGTCGGGTAGCCCCTTTTCTGCCGCATGAGATTTAGGGAAGATAGGGACATGTGAGCCCTCAAGCCAGGGAGATCAGAAGGGTGAGTCCCAGGCCCGTGTCTGCTTGGGGAATCTGCTGCTGACGGCAGGGAAGAGCTGATGACCCGTGCTTCCATCCCAGTTGGAGTGGTCCCTGCCATCTCTACTTGAAAGGGGATTGGAAGTGAGTTTAAGCCTGCATTAGAGCTTGCCAAACGAACGATGGGGGAAAGAAGCGTCCAGAGTAAGCACGGTGAGCAGCAATCTGCGTATAGGGGCCCAGGCTGCCTGCAGTCCACGCCTCCATCTCACCTGGCCCACCAATCCCAGGCTATCACAACGAAAATTCTCCAGTGCTCCAATAACAATTTCTTACTGCTTTCTGGACCACTGAGGACTTTCTATGCTTTCTTGAAGTTGCTCAGTGTGCTCTATACCTGCTGTGCGCTTCATCTGATTCCCTGGCTGCAAGGTGGGTGAGGCCAACCACTCCTTAACCCAGAGAGGAGAGGCATTATGGGAAACAGAAGGATTTCTCCCAAGTTGTCTCCCCCAAATATATGCCAGACTTAGCTGCTTGAGAATGACTGTACACTTGGAGGTCATCAGGAGTGGATTGGGGGTCATTCTCCCTGAGAGCTATCAGCTGTCTAGACCAAGCAGACACCACTGTTTATCCCACAAGTAGGGCCCACTCCCTTCTGATAAGGATAGTAGCTGTCTGTTTCCTTGTAGGAGACACCAGAGAGGTCAGACCCGCCCAAGGATGACCAAGGTTAGGCTGCCATCATGAATCTAGGGTCCGCCCATCTTGTCACATGTATATCCCTAGACCTTCCCATTCCTATGGGCACACCCCTAGCTCAACCTCATCCTGTTATACTTATGCCTATCATACATCCCCTTCCTATGATATGTATGACTATTGTACTGCCCCTTCCTGTGACGTGTGGTTACCTGTAATCACGCCCCCCTAATGAGATAGAATCCTTGGTTAGCAGTAAAGTTGAGGCTCTCCCGGTTCTTGCGCCCGGGGTCTCTCCTGCCTTCGCTTCCGAGGCTCTCTCCGGCTCTCATGGCTGGGCTCCCCCCACGAGGACCACCAAGCAGGGCTGAGGTGAGCATGCTACCATGAAATGTGTCTGACTCCATTATTTGACTCTCCTCTACCTCTCATGCTCTCTATGACTTTACTATAATCTTACTTATCGCTGTACAATTGCGCCTACCGGACCAGTGATGATTTGTGGGGGACCTCTCCTCTCCCCACAAGGCCTGATGTGAGATTCGGAGCGACAATCACTGAAGGGGACAGAGGGAAGCCTGAGCCTACTGACCCCAGATGCACTCCCACACAAGGCCACACAGGTGGCATCACCCAGCTCATCAAGAGGCCGTCAGGGGCCAGGTGGAGGCAGTGGGGGTGAGCTGCTGTTTTACTAACACAATCCATGTTGGGGGGCTGTGAGGGGGGGAAAGCCAACCCAGGGTGGAATGGAGAAAAGGAAGGAGCTGCTCAGGAAGTACCTTGAGTTTCCTTCCCAGAGCTCTTGCTCACAGGGCCTTGCCTGCTCTGAGCAGCTCCCGCAGGCCAGTCTGTCCTTGGCAGCAGGCTGTCTGAAAGCCTCAGTTTGCTCACGACAGTGCCCACACCAGTGCTTGTGGGTTTTGGGAGGTGCAAGCTGTTTGCAGAGCAGGCAGGAGCACAAGGCATGGGGAGCATGTGCAAACTGCACAGTCACAAGCCTGGACAGTCTCAGGCCAGTCTCTGGCCACAGCAACGTGTCCGGAGCAAGCTGCCCATGGCTGCACGACTCCACTGGTTAGGGCCAATGTGGCCCGGAAGCCGTAGCCCAGCAAAGCTCCTGGCTCCCAGCCTGGGTTCTCCTTGAACTCAGTGCCAGGACTACAACGGACTTGGGCCAGTCCATAGCCTTCCACTGCACGCAGGCAGTCTGCTCCCTTCCTGCTGTCCCATCAGGAGCGGTGACTGTGGGAGGACAACAGGATGGACTGTCTCTGTGGGCTGCTTTCGTGGGAAAAGCGTGTTTTCCTCTTGAGGTAGGAATGTGGCGGGGCCGCGCGGGCTAACACTCGACATCTTGCAGCTCAATTTCCTCACTCTTGCTCTCTGCAAAGGCAACAGACAAGCGGGTGAGTGGTGTGAGCCCCGCAGCGGTCTGGTGGCGAGAACTAGTGTGTGCACCCCTCGGTCCTCACAAGCATGAATTAGCGAGAGGCCCAGAGAGTGAGTTACCTTTGAGTTTGTGTCTTCTCTTCCTCTGGAACTTATAGGCACACTTATTACAAACCCACATGAGGCTGATTAACACCGCGGCCACAGTAGCGAGAAAAGCAAGGAAGACAGCGACAAAGTGCAGGTCTTCATAGAGGATCTCTATGGGGGCGGGGGGCGGGGAACAATGCTTAATTATCAAGAACTCAGCCGCCCTCTCGGGAGCCCGCCCCCTTGGGGCAGCCTTACCAGAGACGTGCAGAATGATGGTGCCAAACTGGCTGCTCCCCAGGTGCTCCGTCACCTTGATGCTGTAGTAGCCGGAATCGCTCAGGCCCACACTGAAGAGCTGGATAGAGCCATTGTCAAAGGTGCACACTCGGTCCCTGTGGCTCTGGGAGACGTTGGCCTGAGTCCCCGGCTTCCATTCCACGATCTTCTGCTCACCCCAGTTGGTGGTGTATTTCCACTCAATGGTGGGCACCCCGACACAGGAGTACTCGACGGAGAGCAGAATGTCTTCCCTCACTGTGGCGTTGATGGAGGGCTGGGGAATGTACAGGGACACACCTCGACCTGCAGGACAGAGGGCCAGACGTTGGGCACATCAACACGAACGGAACTTAGTGTCGTCATGCATGCATGCATGAGGCGCCCCGGTGGCACAGTGGTTACATGTTGGGCTGTAGTCAGCAGTTCAACACCACCAGCGGTTTGAATCACCAGCCGGGCTGCAGGAGAAAGACGGGGCTTTCTACACCGTACAGTGACCGTCTTGGGAATGCACAGGGGCAGCTCTACCCTGTCCCGTAAGGCTGCTCTGAATCACCATCAACTTGGTGGCGGTGTTTGTGTTTCATTGTGTGTGCTTTTTGAGGGGAGGGGCTAAGAGCACCATCCATTAACAAAAACTCATTGAGATGTGGAGTCCTGGTGACAAAATGGTTAAGCACTGGTTGCTTCCGGAAAAGCTAGTGGTTGGAAGCCACCCAGCAGGAGACAGATGTGGTGACCGGCTTCTGCAAAGGCTCCATCAAAGACAAACACACACATGCTGTGTTGATAACCAAAAGGGTTGGAGGTTTGTGTCTACCCAGAGGTGCCTCAGAAGAAAGGCCTGGCGCCTGGTGCTCGCTGAGCATCAGTCCCTGAAGCCCTGGGGAGCACCATCGGCCCTGGCCCTGACATGCAGCGATCGCCATGAGTTGGGGTTAATCTGAAGGTTGCGGTTTTTATTCTCTTGTTTGGACAGCTCCCCTCTTATTTTGATTGGACCTTTGCTCCCTGAGTAGCAAGAACAGACAAGATGTTCCCTCCTGGTATTTGGGAGGATGGGTCTCATGACTCCGATTCCTGCCCTCCAGGTGTTCCATGGCCCCTGGGGGGTAGTTAGGCTTGAACACAGGACGAAGCTCGAGAAGGAGAAATCAGAGGTCAAGTTCCAGGCCAGTCCTTGGAGGGTGGCCACCACATGTTTTCTTCAATCGTGGGCCCAGCCCCCAGTGGTCAGTTAGTAAATGTATGCCAAAGGAATGCCTAATTCGTTTATCTTTTTGCAGCATTACAATGTGAATTGAGTACAGTTTACAGAGCACATCATCGGCTGTCCGTTATAAAATCCACACACATTTTGCTCCGGCTCGATGATGGCAATCCCCACAACGGGAAGGCCCCCACCGTACTGCCGGTGCTTCCTGTCTTTTCCCCGCCTCTTCCTAACCCTGCGAAATATGTTCTGGGGTACGTGCTACCTTTGGGGTTTTTTGTATCTCAAGTGGTGAGTTATTCTAATGTGTGCAGGATGATGAAGGGCTACAGTCTTGAGGGCTCCATCAGCGCCATCTGACCAGTGAGCCTGAGTTTGGTCCCACCTTTTTCTCCCACTCGATCCCTTTCAGAGAAATGGGTAGTGGTGGCAGGATGCCATCTATTTTCTCTGGTCTCGGGGTGATGGAGGGCGATGTACCCATGGCCCATTAGCTAATGGGCTCCTTTCTGGGAGACTACCACTCTTTTTTTTTTTTGACTACCACTCACTTTAATAGCTTTATAAACCAAAGACCAAACCCATGACCATCAAATTGCTTCCACCTCATGGTGATCCCACGTGCTAGAGCAGAACTGTCACCGGGCTTACGGAGGCAGTTTGTGCGACCTTTCTTCCACAGCCCCACTGAGGGGTTCAAACTGCCAACCTTTAGATAACACTAAAGCACAAACCTCGTGCCACCCATGGGACTCATCATCTTAGGGACCTTTCATTTTGAGCCTCTGTTACTTTGGCTCCAGAAACAACAAACTGAAAACAAACAAGTAACAATCCCATGCTCACAGATACAGCGTGAAACCAGCCGATTGGTTCTCAACGGCTTTTGTGTTTTGTCTTAACCTGAAAAACCATTTAATTAGACAAACTAACCGGGCATATAATTAGTTCTTAGGAACAAGGAGTACTTCCCCTATCAATCTACATCATAACTGTGCACAACAGAGAAGAAAAAAATAGCAGATACAACAATTTTAAGGCAAACTGCTTATCACCTGTTAAAATGGACCAAGAACAATTGCTGAAATCATTCCAGGACAAGGGCAAGGGTGCTTTGTGGCTAAGCTACTATTCAGACCTGACTCAAAAGTGCTACTCCAGGAGGTTGATTCAGTAAATCAGATTTTAAAAATCAAATAGGTAACAAGTGGCCATTAACATGAATCACGTTTGCATGGGTGTTGGAAGATGCCCATGATGTGTTCACTAAGCTAACAAACACATTAATTATAAACAGCATAATATGCTTTCATTTACAGTTGTATAAATATGTGCTTACTACACACACACACACATTTTTTTGAGTAGTATGTGCCAATCTCCTAATGGAGAAAACCTCTTAGAGATTGTGTGGCAAGAGGTTTTATTTTCCAAGTTATTCATTTTTATAACTTCTACATTTTTCCCATTATTTCTTTTGTTGCTGCTGCTGGGAATATACACAACAAAGTGTCAACCAATTCAATCCCTTCCACCTGTACAAGTCAGCAACTCTGATTCCATTCATCAAGCCATGTAAACATTCTCACCTTTCCTGAATCATTCCTCGCCGTTAACAAAAACCCACTGGCCTCACAGTAAGGTTCTAACTAATCTTTTGAGTTGCAATTGTAGACTTGATCCCATATAGTTCTTAAAAGAGTATAATGCTCAAAGCAGACATTTTTTTTTACTAGTGAAATGACTGTCTGCTGTTAAGAAAACTCCAGGCGGTAATATTAAACTTTAAAGTTAAAGATTATCTCAGGGCAATAGTTTCCGGGGTTCATCCAGTGTGAAGTCCATGAGTACTTGAAATTCTGTTCTGCATTTTCTCCCTTTTGGTCAAGAGTCTTCTATAGGCTCTTTGGCCAAAATGTTCACTAATGATCGTTGAGTACCATCCAGTTCTTCTGGTCTCATAGCAACATTTATATAAACCTGTGGATTGTAAAATGCAGCTATTTATGAATTTATCATACAAAATAATGTTTCTTTTTAAAGGTGTTTTGGATCTCTCTTGATTAGACTAAGCAATCTTATGGGAAAAGTTTAAAGAAGTGTTGGAAGCTTCAAAGTTCATCTTGCTTTTCATCTGCACTTGTGACGATGCAGAGGAACTAAATCTCTGCTTGCTTCCCAGGGCAGACGGGCACTGTCTCCTTTAAGGAGCCAGTCCCAGGACTGAAGAGAGTAGACAGCAGACAGCCTGACAAGCTGATTCCCTCGAGAAAGCAATAGGCAGGTGAAAGTCTCTGGAGCGAGGGGCTGAAATGCTCAGAAGAGTTACTTTTTCTTTGCAGTTATTAAAAATTGATTGGGGGTGGGCGGTGTGTGCAAAAGGGCTTCAGGAGGCTCATGGAAAAATCCCATTATCTTTTTTTATTTTAATATATACAACTTTTTGAGAAGAGGGGAAAAATCCTATTGGCAATATAAATTTAAACGGTACCCTTTAAATATAAGAAGCATATATATTTAAATCATTTTATTGGGGGCTTGTACAATTCTTATCATAATATGTACTAGAAGCATATATATTTAAACAGCAAAATTTTTATTCTTTTTTTCCTATTTTAGTTTTGTTGGCATATAAAATTCACTTATGCAATTTCGATGGCTCAATATTAATCCCATTATCCTTTAATTCCATTTTCCCATGAAATTTTTGAAGCCCCCTTGTATTTCCTAGAGGCACAAAAAAGGCCGGCACTACTTGGATGATAGTTACAATAGACAAGAATATTAACTAATGGTGAGACAGATAGTTATATTGCTGACATGGCCTCTTGATTTAAGGGGCCACAGCAAATACACAGGAGTTAGGACAACTCCTTTCACTCTCAGGTATCTGGCAGGCAGATCACTTGTTCAGCAAGCAAGATCACCAGATCCAGCTGAGAGAGAGAGTAAGCCGATCACCAGATACAGCTGGAAGCAGAGAGTAAGCCCCGTTGTTGCCACCACCGGCATGTAGGCAGTAGCAGTGCAGTGAATGATTTCACTGGGCACTTCTGGCCATGGTCTTTGTAATCCCACCAAATGGCTCTTTCCTGAAAGGTAAGAAGGTGGGTCAAGATACTGAGAGGAGTATCTGATACAGCTGTGAGTGGTTATTCCAGGTGAATTGTGAGTGAGGCCCTGCTGGGTATAAAAACCAGCCATCTCAGAAGCAAGAAAGGAGAGACCTCACTACCAGTAAGAGAGAGGAATCAGGAGTAGAAAGTGTCCTTGATGCCACCGGAGTGGCAGAGGAGCAGCAGCAGGAGCCAGAACTTGAGACAAGCCCAGCCCACCAAGCAAGTGAACCTGAGTGCCTCTGGGCAGGACACTGTCTCATGGAGTAGCGCACCTTCAGACACTTAATTGAGGGCGCTGGGCTGCTGACCCACGGGAGTTGGAGCTGACTGTCTTTAGACTTATGCTTCTGGCAGAGTGGCACACCCTTGGGCATTTATTGGCAGTCCTTAAAAAAACTTTGTAATATTGCCTGAGCAGGGCTGGCCAGGCCAAGAGGCTGACAGCCAGAGAGAAGCCTGCCTATGGGCATGTCAAGGAAGACACTGTCCAGAGACAGTGCATCCTGGGCATTTCTCACCTGAATTGCAACCTATGAACTTCCCCAACCAACCCCACAATTCCTGAGCATGGTCTGTGAGTCCTCTGTAGCAATGCACTGCATTATTGGAAAGTAAAGCCAACTGCTGTTGCATGAATGCCAACTCATGGCGATTCCAAGAGTAGATCGATGACGGGGTGGCCAATGGTTGGTTTTCTATAAAAGAGATTCCAAACCAAACTCACTGCCATCGAGTCCATGCTGACTCCTAGTGACCTCTGAGTCACTCCTAGTGACTCCTTTCACGGAGTAGAAAGCCCTGTTTTTCTCCTGCAGAGCTGCTGGTGGTTTCTTACTGCCTAACACGTAACCACTAGGCCATTCCATTGAACGTCCAACCTTTCGGTTAACAGCTAAGTGTGCGAACCAACGGCACCATGCAGGTACCCCCAAACCAGACAATCTTGGACAAGTTGGGACCGCTGGTCACCCCTGCCCTGAGACCCAACAAAGGAATGTTGAAGAGCAAAAACACAACCCCAGGATATATGACGACCGATTGCTAAGGGAAAGGGGCTTAGAAAGGCTGCCTTCTCCCCGGAGATGAGAAGGCAGCAGGTAGCCAGCTCCAGGCTCAAACTGAGGAAGGAGGAAACCTTTAGCCTTTTGCCTCCCTGACACAAATCAAGGCCTGGCCTCCAAGAGTCAGCAATCTCACTATGCCCCCACTTTAATAGAGACCTCCCAGGATTCCCTGAACCCAACACTCACCCTCCTGAGCAGCACAGCACTGGCTCATTGAGAGGTGGCAGGGTGAAGAAAATGTGAAGTAGGATATTATCTCTAGCTTCCCTAAAGCTCACAGACACCAAGTCAATACTGACTCACAGTGACCCCTTGTGGGTTTCCAAGGCTGTAACCACTTATGGGAGTAGAAAGCCCCATCTTTCTCCCGAGGAGCTGCTGGTGGTTTTGAACTGCCAATCATGAGAGGGTAGCCCAACGCATAACCACTATACCACCAGGGCTCCTCTTATCTCTAGTTGACAGTGGAGCAAATCAAAGCTCACGGAGG